TGAGAGGTTCAATTTACATAATATAGTATCGGAAAGGTCATGACTTTCAAAAACGACTGTTGAAAAACATGTCTTACACAATATTCTAATAAAAATATATGTGATCATCATGGATTTCTATGTATTGTAGTAATGTGATGTTGGGTTCAATTCTCAACTGCTTATATTACAGGAAAATATTTATCATCTACTGTCCATAGAATGTACCCCTCCAACGCTGGCTGTAAATCCTGTGTTAATTTTACTTAGATGAGTGGACAATTGTTTTGGCAGACTTGCAGGCCTATTCACTGAAGTGAATTTCAGATTTAAGGCTAAAGTAGCTGATCTGGAAACTTGGCTGACCTAGAGAATTTTCCACTTAGCGAATAACCCGGTATAAATCATAATTAAGATGTATTTTATATGTTTTTTTTTTTTTTTTTTAAAACCTACTTACCTCAAATTTTGTCTTCATGGGCGGAGGGGTCAAACTGCAAAAGAATCTGTTGCCTTCGGGTGCTCAAAGTTGTCCTGGATTACGGCCAATCTGTGTGATGATAGCAACCCACGTGATTGTGGCCTAGTCTGGCTGGCAAGTTTTGGGGAAGATGCAACCTATTTCCCAGGCTAAAGTGGTCTGAGCTTGGTGGCATTCTGCTAGTGCCGATCCCATCCACCCCCCCTCTGGACTTTTCCAGTCCCCACCAAGGAAACTTTGTTTCTATTTTTAATGCTTGTATTTACCGTATTTTTCGCTCCATAAGACGCACTTTTTTCCCCCTCAAAAGTGAGGGGAAATGTCTGTGCGTCTTATGGAGCGAATGTGAAGATTTACTTACCTGTCTTGGAGCGTGGGCCGGCTTCACAGCGCGCTCCGCGGTCCAGGAACTTCTATTTCAGGTTCCGGTTTCCGGCGGGACTGAAAGGAAGTGCACACTCAGTGTGCACACTTCCTTTCAGTCCCGCCGGAAACCGGAACCTGAAATAGAAGTTCCTGGACCGCGGAGCGCGCTGTGAAGCCGGCCCACGCTCCAAGACAGGTAAGTAATTATGGGACAATGGGAGGGGAGACACTATGGGAGAAAGGGAGGGGGACACACACTATGGGAGAAGGGGAGGGGGAGACACTATGGGAGAAGGGGAGGGGGACACTATGGGAGAAGGGAGGGGGAGACACCATGGGAGAAGGAGGGGAGACACCATGGGAGAAAGGGCAGGGGACACTATGGGAGAAGGGGGGGGAGACACTATGGGAGAAGGGGAGGGGGAGACACTATGGGAGAAGGGAGGGGGAGACACCATGGGAGAAAGGGAGGGGGAGACACTATGGGAGAAAGGGAGGGGGAGACACTATGGGAGAAAGGAGGGGGAGACACTATGGGAGAAGGGGAGGGGGGAGACACTATGGGAGAAGGGGAGGAGGACACTATGGGAGAAAGGACACTATGGGAGAAAGGGAGGGGGACACTATGGGAGAAGGGAGGGGGAGACACTATGGGAGAAGGGGAGGGGAGACACTATGGGACAAGGGCAGGGACACTATGGGAGAAGGGGAGGGGCAGACACTATGGGAGAAGGGGAGGGGAGACACTTTAGGACAAGGGCAGGGGGGGACACTATGGGAGGGAAAGTGCACAATGGGAGGGGGGAACACTATGGGATCAGAACACTAATGGACAAGGGGAGGAGGGGTTAAAGAACACTATGGGACAGGGTAAGAGGGGTTAAAGAACACTATGGGACAGGGGAGGAGGGGTTAACAATCACTATGGGACAGAGGAAAGGGGGGTTAAAGATCATTATGGGACAGGGGAGAAAAAAAAATATTCTGAACAAACTGTCCCATAGTAAGAAACACTATGGAACAGTTTGTTCAGAATATTTTTTTTTTCTGGGTTTCTTCCTCTAAAAACTAGGTGCGTCTTATGGTGAGGTGCGTCTTATGGAGCGAAAAATACAGTATTTTGACTTGGGCACTTTGACATGATAAAATCAATCCAAGATGGTATCCTCTCCAACCAATATTTTTTCTAACAGTGGAAGCAACATTCATCTTGGCATTCAATGCCATTTGTGAGCAATTTTGGCAACGTATGTATCAGGGTGGTTCCCAACTCACCTCAACTGCTGTCATGTCAGCTGCAAGTGGTATCTCAGAACATTATTATTCTCCCTTCGGGTTAAGAACCCAGGTAGGTTTTAACCCTTCACAACAAATCTCTATAGTTTGGATCTCTCTCGGAACCTAGACCTAATCACCTAAACATTGGGTGTTGATTCTTGCTAAGGATCTGCAGAAGTTAGGTTCTGGGGGACTCTTATGCCTAACTCACCCAACTGTATTATTGCAACATCTTTCCAAGTTTGTGAGTTGGCTTTCCCTGGCCAGCATCTGCCATTTTATTAAGGAAATATTTTTTTATCATTCTTCATGTATTTCTTTTTGAGTTCTTAAGCTCAATGGTTGCCTAATGCAGCCCGTACTTGGTGAATTACAGTTATATGCATGATCTTATTTATGACCACCTTCTGTTATTTTTTTATTGCATAGGGTTGTACTCTTTACTATCTTATTTTTCAGTGAATCTACTTAATAATAAAAAAATGAGGTATAAATGTCATTACTGCTGCATAAGACGTCTCATATATTGTTTTGCTCTTAACTCTATAGAAAGAGGTATTGTTATTTTTCTTGACACTATGAGCTGTCTTATAATTGCTTTCCTACCAATATTGCAGACCTTATCTGATATTGTGGCATGTCTTATATGCGATTTGACCTTGTTCTATTCTTGGAGTGATGTATGCAAAACCTCAATATAACAAAGAGTGACAAAAAAATCAGTAGTTCTAAAATACAAAGTAAAGGTTTCACATGTTTACCAAATAAAAGATTAATAATAGTATCTTGCCTGGAACATCTTGCTAATCTTGAAATTTTATTGGCTGAAACCTAGGCTCAAACGTCAGCCAATGACATAATAAACTGTTATCTCGGCCCATCCACTGCAAATAGGTGTGGGCTGAGTATTAATTACAAGGCTTTCTAGTCCTCCACACATTGGCTATTAATTACTATTTCTATTATTATTATTAACATTGTCCTCATCTAATGCCCACGGGTAGGGGCTGGGTTAACCAATAGTAGGTTCCTCTCCCATTAAATGTTATTATTAATGATTGCTAATACTTCCAATGGACATTAAAGCGGCACTGTCATGCCGAAATTACCTTTCCCCAATCGATTCCTCTTCTCTCCCTCTGTCAGGATCTGTTCTTCATTTCTTCCTGTCCGCTCTAGTTTTCTTTAAAACATAAGACAAAGTAGGGACTATTTGTCTTATGGGGGTTCGTACGCCTGAGCAGCTATGACCAGCGGGGGAGCAAAGTGTGCTTCATTTCCGGTGGTCAGAGCAATTTCCCCACAATTTTCACTTTTCCTCCGTGTTCCCGCAAGCCTCCTTTCACTTTTTCCGAACGTCCTGTCATTTTAGAACAGTTTCTCCATTCATGTTAGGACACAATTTGTGACCTTGTTCGGATCAGAATTACATTTGAATGAATGAAACTCTGATCCTATTTGTGCCGCGGCTGCATATTGCAGCCGCTTAGTAGATAGCTCCCTAATTCCCATGGTATCACGGCACCTAAAATGGTCTTTCAGGCAAATTTACTAATACTAAGTAAAGATTACTTAGTATTAGTAAATAATCTGCCTCTACTCGCTATACCGTGAGTAGGAGCATGTCTACTAAACAGTGAGCAGCCAGTTATTGCTCATTGTTTAAAAAAAAAAAAAACCCTAGTATTCCCCCTCCCGAGCCCCCACCCCTGAGCGGCGGATGGGGGCCATAAATGAAAATGGGTGATATCTATGTATCCCCCCACCCCCACCCATTAGCGACGTGTCGGGGCCCTAAATGTAAATGTGGGAGGGAGACCTATTGTCCTCCCCCCCAACACCCACCTCTGAGTGGTGGGTGGGGGCCCTAAATAACAATAAGGGGGGACCTATTGTCCCCCTCCAGCCCCCACCTCTGAGTGGTGGGTGGAGGCCCTAAATAACAATAATGAGGAGGGTGACCTATTGTCCTCTCCCCCCGGCCCCCACTAATGAGTGGTGGGTGGGGCCCTAAATGAAAATGGTAACCCCCCAGGTGTGACTAGGGGTCCCAAGTTCCTAGTTACCCCCCCACCCAAAAAAAATTAACAATCCCCTATCTACCCCCCTCACCCTAAAATTATTGAGGAGGGAACAAGAGAACCAAATACCTGTAAAAAAAAAAAAAAAATTACCTTTCGACCTTTCGATGTCTTCTTTTTTCAGCCCCAAAAAAGTCCAAATAAAAATCCATAATACCCGTCGAACTTTGAAAATAAAATAAAAAACCAAATCGCAAAAAAAAAAATCAGACGAAAAAAAAAATCACGACTGTAAAAAAATAATCCATCTTCACCCATGGAGGGCACGGCGCAGACTGAGCTCCGTAGGGCGGGGGAAGCCTTATAAAGCCTTTCCACGCCCTGCAATTTAGCTCAGAGCGCTATGATTGGTTGATTCAGTCTCTACATTTACCTGTCACAGCACGCTGATTGGTTGGCTTGAAACAACACTCTGATTGGTTGCTTTCAATTAATCAATCAATCAGAGAGTTATGAGTCAAATTACACAGCATGGGAAAATTCCAAAGAACTTTCCCATGCTGTGTAAAATGACACAGAGCACTCTGACTGGTGGATTTCAAGCCAACCAATCAGAGTGCTGTGACAGGTAAATGTAGAGACTTACGTGTCAGTTTAGGGTGAGGGGCGTAGGTAGGGGTTTATTTAATTTTTTGGGGGTGGGGGGTGACTAGGGGTTTGGGGGTTAACATTTTAATTTAGGGACCCCACCCGCCACTCAGGGGTGGGGGCTGGAGGGGAGGACAATAGGTCCCTCCCTCATATTTGTTGTTAGGGACCCCCACCCTCCGCTCAGGGATGGGGGTCAGGGGGAGGACAATAGGACCCTCCCCCTTATTGTTATTTAGGGCCCCCACCCTCCGCTCAGGGCTGGGGGCCAGGGGTAATAGGTGAGCCCCGACCTCCAGTCCTGAGCTGAGGGTGGGGGCCCTAAATTAGAATAAGGTAGGGACCTACATTTTCATTTAGGGCCCCCACCTGCTGCTCAGTGGTGGGGGCCAGGGTGGAGGACAGTAGGTCCTCCTCCTTATTCTTATTTAGGGCCCGCACCCACCGCTCAGGGTTGGGGGCCAGGGGGAGGACAATATGCCATCCCCCTTATAGTTGTTAAGGGCCCCCACCCACCACTCAGGGCTGGGGTTCCGGGGTGAGGACAATAAGTGTCCCCCCATATTGTTATTTAAACTGTTCTCATTCTGTTAGGATGCAATTCGGTAGTTTCGCCGGCGTTCTGTCTAAAATGACAGAATGTTCGGAAAAAGTGAAAGGAGGCTTTGTAGGACCGCTGGTCATAGCTGGTCAGGCGTAGGAAACCTTGATAAGACAAATAGTCTCAATCATTGACCCTGTCTTATGATTTAAAAAAAAAAAAAAAAACTAGAGCAGACAGGAAGAAATGAAGAACAGATCCTGGTAGAGGGAGAGAAGAGGAATCGATTGGGGAAAGGTAAGTTCGGCATGACAGTGTCGCTTTAATTTAAGTATACAGCATTTTTATCTAGTTTTCAGTCATATGGTAGTATCCAAGCACAATTAAATCGAGTGGTTATTCTTGCCCATTTGGATGCTGACAGTTCAGATCTGGAATTTAATAAATGCCTAGATTTTGTGTCCAAATGTCCCTGGGTGGCAATAAGACTTTTGTGGATAACGTGGCAAGTGATAAGACATTTAATCCAGTTTAGGCAAGTGATAAAGACATTTAATCCAGTTTAGAAACCATACAACTGTGTTTTTATTGCTGAAGGACTCTTTGACTTGAGTTAGTGGATCCACCAGGCTTCCCTGAATACTTATTACTTATTCTCAGCATTTATGAGCCTGTGGATTTGACATTGCATTGATCTTCTGGTTTATTGCTGTGTAGCTTTATCATACTTTCTAAGGATCCCCATTTAGGAGGAACAGTTCCTATTTTGGGCCCAAATCACTCTTTTCTGTCCTAATGTCCCCCTTTTCTAAGAGCTCCAAATTGTTGGTGTGTCTGAGTGTATAACAGAGTCCCGCAGCAATAATACTCACAGTAATGTGTCATTAAACTACAATAAATGTGTTTAGAAATCAGTCTGTGTAAATAAGATACATTGCTCTTGTTCTAAATTACATTTTAGTTGCATAAATCTTTATTAGAAAGTCACCTACAATTTCTCAGAAGAGCCTTACCTCAGGCCACAACCCCACTCACATCCCTAAAAGTGTCCTTTTTATGCTTTATAACAGGTAATTTAATCTACAGGTTACTGTAATTATTACAAAAACTGTCCTACACATGTACATTGCCCAGTACTGTGAGTTGTACTTTGTAATGCATCTTGGTTTATATTTGCAGGTCTCATATACACTGCAAGTGTTTAGAGTTGTATTGCTGTGGGTCTTTGATACCCATATACACTTCTATGGTGAGTTGTATTGCTGTTTGCCCCATTACTGTTTGGTAGTAGGTCACAGAAACAACACACTTGATGCTAGGTTTAATTCTGTGAAACTATGGGATACACTTGTGCGTGATGCACATGACTGCATGTTTTTTTGATGTGGAGCTCTGTAATATACTAATATACACTGTGTTATCGTGGCTTTTCGGAAGTTTCATTGCTGTGGGGTATAATACATAAATTCTGAGCTACGAGAAAAGGAAGATAAATATGAGGAAAGAAAGCCATAAGACTTTTGTAATGTCTTGCCAAAAGATGTAAGCTGCCATTTTGAAATAGCTGTCTGAGACAGATCTCAACAGGAAATGAATTTTTATTTTAAAAAATGGCTGTCATTGATTGAAAAACAAAACAAGAGAATAAAGCTAAGTCATTAAAAATGTTTTGCTTTCTGTCATGTTTTGCTTTTATATATAAATAAAATATTTTAAAATACTTTTGCATTTACTTAGAATGTTCTGCAAATATTGCCAGGTAAAATTCTAATTGATGAGGCATGTCTGCCTTAAGTAGGGATTATACATTGCTCTTTTTGTCCTGAAGGTTAGCTGTTGCAGGCTGACAGATTTAAAATGGAGAGGGAATACTGTATATCTGTATTCTGTGAGCAACTATATCAAAGGCCTTGGGAGATCAATAAACACTGCATCACTTACTCTTCTATTTCAGGAGAACATAAGATGGAGTATAAAAATGTAATTTTAGCTGAGGTAACACTGTATTCTGCATGCAAACCAAAATATTTAACTCATCCACTGCTGGAAGACTTTTTAGCCACGTTTCAGGTAAGGACGGCGCAATTCTGCCTAATTCACTAGCAACATTGTGTCAAACTAAAAATGAATTATTTAATTTACTGTGGAATTTGATGTATGCCATTTAATGGTATTTAATGTTTAAAGGGACATTATAGGCGCACAGATTCTCATTGAAGTTTTCTGGGTGCATTTACCCTGTCCCCTTAACCCTGCAATGTAAAATAATGCAGTTTCAGAGAAACTGCAATGTTTACATTGTAGGGTTAAGACAGTCTTTAGTTTTTGTGTCTCCCAGATAGCCTCTAGAGGCGCTTGCTCGATTCACACAGAGTTAAATTCAGTGAAATGACTCTGGACACCCTCATACTTAGCATGAGGGCATCCAGCTTTTTGAAAACCCCCATAGAAAAAGCACTTAGTCATTGCATGCGAATTAGGTACCTGCCTCTACTGCCACTGTCCCACCACCATACTGTCTCTTTGTCCCCACCATACTGGCCCTTTTCCCCCATCTACAGCCCCAGACCTCCCTCTATTTCCTCTGTGCCCCCCACCATACTACTCCTGTGCCCCCACCACAGCCCCTAACTCCACTACTACACATCCTTTCCACTACAGCCTCTATTCCCCCATGTGCAGCCTTTATCCCCTACTACAACCCCTAACCCACTTTTACACCTCATAACTCCACTAAAGCCCATATTCCCTTACTACAGTCCTTACCCCTCACTACAATCCCATATCCTCCCCACTACAGCCTCTCTCCCCTGATTGCTCTCCATATGCCCCACATTACATCCCCTTTCCCCAATTGCAGCCCCTAAACACTCAACTACACCCCCTATCCCCTACTAAATTTCTTAAATGCCCAATTACAGCCCCTAACTCTCAACAATTGACCCTGTACCCCTCACTACAGCCCCTGTACCCGCATTACAGCCACTAACCCCCTATTATAGCCCCTAGCTGTCAATTATCACCCAACTACAACCCACTACCAGTCCCCCTCCCAATATTAGGTTCTGGATCTGCCCCTGCTCTGTATGCCTGTGTTTGTATTTTTATTTTTATTGGTATTTATATAGTGCCAGCTTATTCCGCAGCGCTTTACAATAAGTATGTTTTTGTATGACTATATGTCTGTGTATGACTGTGTATGTATGTCTTTGTATGTCTGTGTCTGTATGTTTCTGTATGACTGTGCCTGTATGTCTCTGTATGGCAATGTCCGTATGTCTCTGTATGCCTTGTTCTGCATGTATCTGTATGACTGTATCCGTATGTCTCTGTATGCCTTGCTCTGTATATCTCTGTGTGACTATATATCTGTGTATGTATGTCTTCATGCTTGTGTATGCATGTATCTGTGTGCCATTATGTCTCTGTATGCCTTGTTCTGTATGTCTCTTTATGACTGTGTTCATATGTCTCTGTATGCCTTGCTCAAAGAGAAGCTTGTGATTGTACCATTTCACTTGCTGAGAGTGAAGCGTGAGTGGACAGGAGGGTAGGAGCATTAAAAAAACAAAAAACAGAGGAACAGAGGGAGGCAGAAAGGTGTGCTTAGTGGGTTGGATGGTGGAAGAGGAGTGCTAGTTTCTTGCTGATGCTTTGCCTGTGGCAGGGGGAAGATCTTTACATCTCTCGTCAGTTTGCAGTGCACTCTTACAACAGGCATAATATATGCACAGTATTGATATTGCTAGCCTGGAACAGAGGTCTGGGCTCCCAAAGTCATGTAACTCCTACCACCATGAACACTTTAACCCCTTAAGGACCAAACTTCTGGAATAAAAGGGAATCATGACATGTTACACATGTCATGTGTCCTTAAGGGGTTAAATCACTTTATTTAATGTATATTAATGTACTTCAAATTTTACTTCATGGTTACGGTTTCACAGATATAAAATAGGTGATAAAGTATTTATTGATAGCAAATGTTTTTTTTAAAGATTTGGTTTTATTTTTTTCCCTTAAATTTTTTTCATTTCTGATCTTTTTTTTTGTATAATCTATTTTCAACTACCTACCATACATAAAAAATAAATAAAATAATTAAATACAAATAAAGAATAAAATGTTCTATGTGCCACAATGGTTTTTTCTACATCTGACGTATATAGTGAATTCAACAAAAGTTGGTTACCAAGGGAAGAGCTTCTATCAGTGACGATAAGTAAGGAAGTGTAAGGTTATCTGAGGAGTATATTCTGAGCTTCTGTGCCTCCATATATAATGGCAATTTTATGTTTTATTACATTAGAATTATCATGCAGTTGGAAAGCATTTTAATATAAAATCATACTGTGATTTTTTATTTGATGTGACAATGCATAGAATATGTCAATGTCTTCAATCAAAAAAAAAAATATTCGATTGTTCTTATAAAAATTAAATGCTTATAAAGTTAAAACAGTCATCACTGGAGTTTTGTCTTTGGAGTAAAAACCCACAAAGATGACACATACAGTGAATCCCAGAGCCTTTTGGGAAAAAACAAGAATTGCTCATCCCTGGAACGCCAATCAATGCCACCACCTTATTTATTCAACATCTCTCAGCCTTATTTTTCAAGGGTTGCCTCACCGTTTAATTCATTATTGCATTTTCGTTCATGCTTGAGATTACTAAACAGTGGCCCATGGAGAATCTCACATGACAGGTCTTCTGAAACGATCTCATGTATGCTCATAAATATGCCATATCAATCACAAAACAAAATCACCTAAACACTGTGTTGCTAAAAGTAAAGTA